GCTGGGTGGCAAGGAGGCACTGCCTCCCAAGATCTCCATGGCCAGCCTATTCGATGGCGAGGGCATCAAGGAGGTATCAGGAGTGCAAGAAAAGCCGACCGGCTCGCTGGATGCCCCCGCCCCTAAGCCTGCCGAGGCACCTAAAGCCGCTGAGACTCCCAAGACTGCTGAGCCTACGCCCAAGCTTACTTCTTCGACGGCAGTTCCTAAGCCCGTCTCTGAACCTACCCCCGCCGCGCGCCCCGCCCCTTCGATGAAGGAACAGGGTGCTTCAATGGCCGCCATGGTGAACAAGTTCGCCGATGGTGAAGAAGAGACTACTGTCTCAGACGATGACAACTCGAGCTTCGAGGAAGTTGCCAAGCCGGTGGAGCGTCCCACTCGCCCTGCGGCTGCCGAGTCTGCTTCGCCCCGTGTGAACAGCCCGTTGAGGCCGAAGGAGGTTGAGACAAAGCAAGTTGAGGCAAAGCAAGTCGAGGCAAAGCAGGCTGAGACAAACTCTCAACCCACCCTAGTTGTAAGTTCCCCGCTCCCCATCTAAATTTGTCAAATTGTGCCAGCTGCTAACTTTTCTAGTCCTCTATTGTCCCATCACCCGCTAGCGAGACTCCTTCGCCCACCACTTCCGTCCCCAAGAACGACATCGAGCTGATCAAAGACCTGATCGCCGAACAGACAAAGACGATTGCATCTCAGGCACTGCAAATGCAAACACTGACTGCCGAGATTGAGGCATTGAAGAGCAAGCTGAACTAAATAATGTCGTCCTAATTGGTCTCTGGAGACTACTAGGTTGAGCAAATATCATTTAGGTACATTCGTTGTTGGGAGATTACGCTCCGGATTGGAATCATGCGGTGTTCAACGTATATGAGGCGGTGCAGTGTGTGGATAGGTTTTTTTGTTTCTTTTAGCGGAATTGTCAATACATTTGCCCATTAAAATCAAAATTCGGATATGATGTTCAGTGAAAAGCCAGCTAGCCCGCTAGAACACTCGTCTACGGCAGTAGATTGGCTTTAGGGCTCGGAGTTAATACATGTACGGAGTAACTAACTGTAAGCTAATAATATATTCAAGGGCTGGCAATATGCTACTAGACGATTTGAAAGTGTTGCTTCTCAATCTCATGTGATTCTATTGAGAGTAACACCATGATATATACTGGTGATAGACCATGTTAGCGACGATAATTGTATTTTTCTCTTTTACTTTGAATGATCGCAGCAAAGCAGAGATTAGAGTAAAGAATTCATTTCCCTCACTCGGAGTTCCATTGGCTCTATCCCTAAGAAGCCATTTCAAATAGCCTACACAAGTCCCATATCTACTGTTGAGCAAGTTCACATACCAGCTCAAGGGAAAATAACAACATACAAGAAGGTAAATAAGCAACCTTGAGCCCTTGACGCCATGCCCCATGATTTTTGTACTGAAGGGAAAAAAATCGAACTCCAAGCTCAGAGTTCATCTTCGTACTTGTAGTTAATGCGGCGGCCCGCCACCACACGGTCCTGCCGGCTATCCCGGCGGCGGCCAGACGACTTGGCCTTGTCACGGTGCTGCTGCTCACGCTCGAGACGCTCCTTGTTGCGCGCTTCGCGCTCAAGAGTGTAAGGGTCTTTATCGGTCTCGGCCCTCTTGGTTGAGGTTCCGTTTGTGTCCCGACTACGGTCCTCATCGCCACGTTTCACACGACGGGTTGGGGGATGGTCGCCGCCGATGGCAGACGGGGACCGATCACGGCGAGAGCGCTTGCGATCGCGATCACGGTCACGGTCACGCTCCCTTGGTCGATCTCGGTCGCGCTCTGAAGTTCTTTCTTTATCGCGGTCGCCATCACGGCGTCGTTCGCGATCGGAATCTCGGTCTCTGCCACGACGGTCGCGGTCTCGCTCACGATCTCGGCGTCGGAGATCTCGGTCCTGTTCTCGTGATCTGTCGTCTTCGCGCCGGCTTCCTCTGTCCTTGGAGGAGCGGTAGGTGCTGCTGATTCGGCTTGCTAGATCGCGCGACCCTGGGGCTTCGGAGGACGCTTTAGTCCTGCCGTTTGATACATCTTTCTCTGCGACCTTTTCTAGGCGATCGGAGGGACGGGAATTGCCCTTTCGACTGGAGCTGCGGCTACGGCTGCGATGACGACGGGAGCGTTGCGACCGGTGCTTGTCTCTTCTATCTCGCTCCCGATCACTGTCGTGATGTCGGCGCCGCGAGGATGGACGAGAGGATGTGCGGGATGGAGAGCGAGAGTGCCGGGCGACGGATTGTAGCTCATCAACCCGATCTAGGCGTTTGGTCTCTGCCCCACGCCGACTGTCACGGTCGTCTTCAGTACCATGAACAGATGGTGAACGGGGGCGACAAGTTGGATTTTGGGAGGGAGATTGAGATCGAGAATGCGCACGTTGGGACAGAGCGTTGGATGTAGCCTTTGTGCGATTGTCCTCAGAGGGTTCACTACTGGTCGTTAGTATTTATAAGACAAAAGGAAAGATAAAATAGGCAAGTCTCACCAAGAGATACTGCCTCGACCCTGAATCTGGAAGCCACGTTGTCGCAGAACACTGGTGTTGGGTAGCCCCTGCCGCATGGCACGCGGAGCAGCTGGAGCGCCTTCGACGCCCGGCCCCGGTTCTTGTCCATATCGGCCATACCTGTATTGACCATACTCATTACTCATGTGACCGTATCCAGGGCCAGTTGGTACAGAATTATCAAGGCTGTCAATGGTGGGAATTCCTTGGGGTTGGTCTGTGGTGTCTGTGGGGATATCTTCTGGATTACCCGGCACATCGGGTCCAGTTTCACCTGATTCTGCAGTCTCATCTGTTTGGACATTACCTTCAGCATCCATTGGAGTACCGTTGAGGCCATTAGCCATGCTTGGGTTCTGGTTGACATAGCCTGAGTTAGCCTGACGGTAATGACCTTGCATGGGTCCAAAGCCACCTCGACCGGGGCCATGAAACTGGCCACGGCCGCGACCTCGGTATCCACCGCGACCGTAACCGCCATAGTAACCGGACTGGTAGTCTGAGTGAGAAGGGTAAGCAGACATATTAGACCCGCCAAATGCACCTCCATAAGGAGGACCCGTGCCATTTGCGAAAGCATTTGGATTGAATTTATTTTGACCGCCTTGCCACATATTGTTGTTCTGTTGGGATGCGTCCCATCCTAAGGATCCATACATGCCCCCGTTGTAGTTCATCCCAGTGTTCATGCCCATGCCAGTCATGTTCATTCCGTACATCCCCTGATTTGCCATCGGGTCCATCCCCATCGGCATACCTGTGGAGAGATTAGCGAGATTGAAACGGCAAATCTGGGTAATATTAAACTTACCCATCGTATTCGGGTAATTGAACATGCCAGCCATGAAAGGATTCATGCCGTTTCCGTTCCAGCCCATTGCGGGGAAGTTTCCAGCCACGTTTGGGGTACCGGATTCCCCAGGAACCTCCCCAGGAGCGGGAACAGGTTCTCCATTCAGCGGGGTTTCGTTAACTGCGGCATCTTCGGTCGTCGATTCAAGGGCCGTTTCGGCACCGTTGAGCTGATCACCAGTTGCCTCGGGCTATGAATGGGGTCAGTTTGGAAGAAGAAGAGTTGATACAGCAGTGGAAAATTACCTGAGCTGGTTGATTTGCCAAATCTGGGACACTTGGGTCTGCAATGCTCTCTCCGCCTGTGGCTGGCGCCGGTGTGTCTGGTCCCGGCTCTTGAGATTTCGACTCTGTAGGCTCCGTATGATCCGCCTTCTCCACAGATGTCACCTGCTCAACCGCATTTTGATCGGGAGCTGCCGATATTTTTGTATCTGCAGGTGTGATACTGGATGGTGTTGGAGGCGCTGCAGATTGACGGTCCTTTTCCCGCTTCTTCTCTTCGGTGCGTAGGAAAGCCTTGAGCGTAGTCCGCAGAGCCTTGTTGGGTTTGCAGAGATCGGGCGAGACGGGGGTGTGTGTACAGACAGGACATGTGTCCGAGAGAGAAGCTTGGCCTATAACAGAGATCAGATTAGCTACCATTTGCGACAGGTGCGGAACTCTCCAACATACAGGTCTCACAGATGGACTGGTCACAACAGGGGAGCCGAAATGCATTCACCGCCAGCTTATTGCACATGGCACATCGCAGCTTGAAGGGGATCTCATCTTGGGCCAGGGTACTGCCGAATCATTAGCATCGCGAATTTTTGGTCGCCATGGGAGTACTCCGTACCTGGCAATGTCCATGAGAGCTGGCACATCCGCCACCACCATGGCTGGAGATGGCTGGAGATATTAGATGAGCTCTGACTAGACAGAAAGCTCCAGTGACATGGCTTCAACGTCCGGTAAAAAAGTGTAGAGGTTGATGCTGTGAATTTGGTCGGAAAAACTATTTAGCCGAAGTTACATGTCAGAGAGAAGTAAGCCGTGGGCATCTGGGAACTAAGAGATGACGCCGAGCAAACAAAGTGCATTGTGCGATGAGACCCTCAGATTAGATCAAGTTATTTTGGGCGTTCACAGAAGAACAGCGATACGCTGATGGTTTCATCTGGTTCAACTCGACGTTTTTTGCATTTATCGTCATTGGGTATTTGGTATTCTACGGGTGCCTAGAGGGGGAGAGAAAGGGTGGCGACCTACGATGTATGGACAATTCAGTATATTGAGAAGTTGAAGGTAACAAAGAGGAGAGGGAGAATACAAGGCAAACAAGGGGGAAAAGGGATCGGATTGAAAAAAGCGACAAAACCGAAAATTGAAAAGGTGAAGAATGAAAAGAATGAAATTTCACCAAGAGAAGAGGATGAAAGGGCAAAATAACGTGGGTTTTTGCAAAAAAACAGACCAAAACAGTCAGACGCGGTAAACACATTACGAAAAAAACAACGATGGAATTTAAAAAGGACAGCGACGCCCGTCGGATTCTCCTCTCCAGGGAGCTTGGGCCACCTACTTTTCGCGATTCCACTTAAATCTTTTTTTAAATTTTTTTTTCGCTTGACCATGACAGAGAACAATTATCGGCCTCGCTCTCCTGATCTATCTCTTCCTCCTCCTCAACAATACGCGCTTGCGAGTCCAATTACATCCCACGAATCGCCCTTCTTCAACTCATACCAACCTCACCAACGCCCAATTCTAAGTCGCGTGGGTCAACAATACGTTCCACCTTATCAGCCAGACTCGGACATGGCTCGCCGTTCTAGCCGTCTTGCTCAGTCCGACCGTACCCCCATCCCAGAACCTATGCCCGAGGCAATTCTACCAATCCCAGAGGCAATCCAACCAACCCCAGAGCCGATCGCAATGGCGCCGGTCCCCGCTATTGCGCCGGAGATAGAAGAAGAGATGCCACCGGCGCCTCCGAGTGCGGGGATTGAAGTAAAGACCAAGTTTCCCGTGGCGCGCATCAAGCGCATCATGCAGGCCGATGAGGATGTCGGCAAGGTTGCTCAAGTGACACCGATTGCTGTGTGTATGTACGCCCTTTGCGCTCCCCTTATCACCAATCTGCCAGAGATACTGACCAGACTCTTTTGGTAGCCAAGGCTCTCGAACTCTTCATGATCTCTCTTGTCACCAAGGCGGCACAAGAAGCAAAGGACCGCAACTCAAAGCGCGTCACGGCCTCGCATCTCAAACAGGCCGTCGCCAAGGATGAAGTGCTTGACTTCTTGGCTGACATCATCTCCAAGATCCCTGATCAACCCGCCAGTCGCAAACACGAAGACGACGGGAGCGATCAAAATGAGGGTCGCCGTAAGCGTGGCGGGCGGCGACCGAAGGATGAAAGTGATTGAGGTTGACCCGTAAATGACTTGACGACGTGCTAGATGGGATGGGTATTAGGCGCATAACTTCATGGTGGTTCTTTCTTTCAGGCGTTTAAATAGTGGGAGGCAGATCTGGGAGCGCTTTTGTCTGTGAATATCTTTTGGTTTTTCGGGCTCCAATGACTCGAGCCTCATACGCGCACGGTCTTTTTATTCAAACAGAACCTAGACGGGCATCTTCTGTTGGAACTTGAATCTGTATGGCTGTAAGTGTAAATCTGGAATTTGCATGTAGTACTCCGCATATCCTTGGAAGTTGATAGTTGATGGTAGGTGTAAAGCGGCGATCAGCGCGATAAACACCGTATCCACTCATCCTCGATCCCCCGTCACTTTCACTCTGTGAGATCATGCAGTCCTCACAGAATGGACTTTGTACGTGCCCCTTACTTCTCTATGATCTTCACTAATAGAATATAGTGGTCTCGTCTTATCGGCGGCTCGCGCGCGCTGTCCAACAAATCCTCCACCACCTCGCCCACGGAACGGCTGACTGCATTTAAGCGCGCCTGCAATGCCCTCCAGGTACCGACGATGTCCGCTTCCACCAGGCCACCAATTAACGAATTGATAGCAAATATGGCGCTCGACAAATACCCCTTCGGGTGAGCAATCGGTTACGCATGCGCGGATGTACGTTGAACGACTCAACTCGATTCTGAGTGAGGAAGCTCGCGGAGCGGCACCACACCCCTGTGTCGCCTATGCGGCATCATCCCAGGTCTTTGTGACCGTGACCAAGCTTGCCCTTTCCTTCCACGACGAGGGAATTATCCGATCAGCGACGGTATTCTTCAACACACTGATCGATGCGGAGGTGGACGGGGTCGTGGACAACCGATTGTTCGCTCGTGCGATGGTGGATCTGGTCCGCCGCGCCGAGAAGACCTCCGATGAGGCTGAGGGCCGACTCGTCGAATTGCTATTTGGTATTGCCAACAACATTCGTCTGCAACCTGGTATCCTGCCCGCGTGGTTTGTGCCTCGGGTGACACCCAGCGCCCAGGATAGCGATTCCCAAGCCCCAAGTGGGACGGAGTTTGCAGGAGCTACGAGGAAGGACGAGTTCCCTCTGTTCTATCTGCTGGTAGACTATGTTCACCACGAAGGACGCGCTGGGGACTTTGCCCGAACGGGGTTGCTCTACCTCATTGAAACCGCATCGCGGTCTAAAAATCTAGAGAAATGGCTGATCGAGAGTGACCTGGCTACGCTCATGGCTACTGGACTGGGCGCACTCTACAGCCAGCTCGGACAGTGAGTTTGGTTCTTTGATCATTGTGGGACAATATACTAATCGAATAAAGCTTGTCGTTTACTCCTGCCACCGAGGACGATAATCTTCCTCACATTGTTGCTCTATCTGATCATGGCAAACAGGAGACCGCTTTGCAGCCAACCCTAGGCCAAACAATGGATGCATTCATGTCATATCTGTTGTTTTGGCAGGACACAATCGACCATTGCAAATCTGCCGAAGTGAACGACACCTTACTAGACCATTTCCAGGTGCTGTTTCTGGAGCAACTTTTGTGAGTATACACTCGTCGCCCCAGAATGGACTTATCACTGACTCTTATAGGTACCCCTCTTTGTTAGAATCATCAGATGTAGCTGGTGGCTCGACAGCAGCGGTGCTGACCTACATGTGCCGCATTCTCGACTCAATCGATCAAGGCGAATTGGTCCACCGAATCTTGCACTTCTTACTAGCGTCTACCCCTCAGCCTGAGGAGCAAATGGATATGTCCGCAAGCCGACGCAAATCACTCAATGTGCTAGCTGCGCTGGCCTCTGAAGCGGCTCATCCCTCACCCTCACTATTCAATCTTCGCGATTTGGCCCTACTAGGACTCCAGTCATCGAACTGCCAGACGGTACTAGCTACACTACGCCTTTTAAATACCGTTCTCCAGAGACACCATCTATTCGCACGGGCGCTGATCCATACCATTCCTACTCAGCCTGCAAATCAGCGCCCCATTGGCGCTTTGAATGCCGAGCTAGAGCAATTAGTAGTCATGGGAACGTCCCTCGTCGATGACCCCACGCTGAATGAGTCGTATGACAACTATGTTTCAGATGCGACATGCGTGCTTGAATCCCGCCTGTGTCTGCCCATCTCTTCAATGGGGGAAGACGAGGAGACGTTACCCCTGCCATTGCAGCTCCAGCAAGATGATCCCATAGTGCAGGCCCTCTTCGAGTGCCTTGAATCTTTCTTTACCAACAGTGTCATCGTCAATCTGGCATTGACAGGTGTGTTCATGAGCCTGGCATCCTCACACCTCTTCTCCTTGGACGGGTGGGTGTTGGTTGATCCCAACCAATACGAGGCCCCATCCTCGGAAGAAACCGACGACGGATTGGATGATGTTAGCCGGGCCTACCAGGCGCCAACTTGGCCTGCCACGGCTGCTCCGACATTGACAGTAGCGCTCCAAAAACTCGTGAACCAGGTTCGACAATGGCAACAAGAACTCCCCGACTTCGATGTACTAGTAGCTGCCCGACGAGAACTCTTGCACCAGGATGATCGCCCACAAACGCCGGACCGATCCCGAGAGTCCTCAGAGCATCCAGCGTCAACCAATAATTCACGCCCGTCATATTCAGGTTCAGCCGGTGTCTCTACCCCAGCTGCCCGTGGCCGGTCTCCATACCCGGTCAATTCGCCCTCTATGCTTTCCCATCGGGATGCATCATCTGTTCCTTCCGAGTCGCGCGGATCCTTGAACGCCCGGGCGGTGGCCGCCGAGGCTCTTCGCCAGCGCCTTGCCACACCGTTCCCGCCTGCACCCGCGGATCCACCGTATCCATCTACTGGGGAGGAACCCTCGGACTCAGAAGATACCAAGCATGCCCCAATCGCAACTCTTGGTCATGTACTGACGAATGTGGTGATTCTTTACGAATTCCTCCTAGAGTTGTCGGCGGTAGTACAAGTCCGAGGAAGCCTATTTGAAGAGGCAGGATATGATTTTAATTAGGAAAAGGGGTGTTAATTTGTTTTTCTTTCTTTGTATTTAAAGGGGGTATATCTAAGTATCAATATACAGTATTATTTTTGTTTCTTCATGAACAATCTATCAAAAGACCAATGAGGAATTTGATATGCAACGCAGTGAATAAGAATAGCACCAGTGGACCCCCGACGACGCTGATTGGCCACTAACCCCCTGGACGAGAGACTAAACCCGCCAAGACCTCGTGCCGGGTTGGCTTGCGGCGATTGGCGACTTGGCCTCCAGACACGTCGGACACAATTTCTCACACTCCTCTCTAACGCATTTCTGACAATGATTTGATACTAGCCCTCATCTATACATCCCGATCGGACTACCTTCTTTTATATATACCCTCATTGACGGTATGACTGGCCGAGATGGCCTCCATACGTCATGAGTCTCTCGACCGCGAGGACCGCGAGGATGCCCCATTCCTCGACTCCCCCGATTTAAGCACCCCGGGCTCAGCCCATCGCCATGTTTCTAGCAAGCCCAATATAGGAAGCCACCCAGTCAAGGCCAATGCCTCTGCTAGCACCATCACCTTTCGCCTCAAGGTGACCCTATTCGCCATGGTCCTCGCTGTTGAAATCGGCTTTGCTTTCCTGGAGGGCCCCATGGTCCGAATCATGGAGTCTATTGCTTGTCGTCAGTATTTCTTGGGTGTGGATCCGACTAAGATCGGTGCGGATGGACAAGTGCCCGAGGCCATGTGTAAGATTGGCGAGGTGCAAGCTGAACTGGCGGCTGTGAAGGGCTACCATATGTTCTTTGATGGGTCACTGAGTATGTTGATTGGAATGTTTAGCGCTAGACCATGATCTGATTGTTTCGCAGGCGCCCTATTGGCGATTCCCTATGGTCTGCTGGCAGACCGTCGTGGCCGCAAATCTACCCTCGCCTTGTCTCTTCCCGGGTTTGGGTTGAACGCCTTATTTACAATCCTCATATTGTGGTTCTCGGATATATTTCCCCTGCGTGCGCTTTGGTTCACTGCCTTGACGTGGTTGTTTGGGGGTGGTCCAGTCGTGTCGTTCGCGATTATCTGGACCATGATGGCCGATGTAACCAACGAGTCGGAAAGGTATACTATTCCTCCATGTTGGGCGTGAGTCTTATAGATGCTGATCAAGTGGAACAGAGCGGAACTCTTCTTTCAATTTGCAATCGTATCGATGGGTGCCGACTTCGCTTCAAGTGCTGTTAGTTCTTATCTGATGACTTTGAATCCTTGGATACCATTGGTGGTTGGATTCGCAATTGTAATGGCCGGAATGATGCTCATTTTGGCCCTACCGGAAACGAAACATGCACTGCCACCCCGGAAAGCCGAACCAACTCATGTGGAGATGTCGGATTTGACACATGACACCGAGCCAAAAAATTCTATACATATCCCTCGCGAACCCGAACCATATCGCGCAGAACCCGACATGAATGGTGATCATGACGACGAACCGCCTTCTTGGAGTATCCAATCATACTCCCACCGATCTATTTTGGCAAAGTTCCGCGCAAATTACCGCTTTTACCTTAGACCCTACCGCTTCATCCTCAACCGAAAACCAGTGCTCCTCCTTCTCACTGCGTTCCTCGTCTACCGCCTGAGCCGAGGTTCATCCTGGTTTTTGACCCAATATATATCGACACGTTATTCATGGACACTGGCACAGGCCAACTTCTTGGTATCTGCTCGTCCGACTGTGTCAATCCCGCTGTTCCTCTTTGTCCTACCTTTCCTCAAAAGACGAGTCGTGAATCCCCGACTTTCCTCAACAGAAAAAGACCTCTGGCTAGCGCGGCGCAGTATATTCTGTCTTACTGTTGGAACCCTCGGAATCGGCCTCTCCCCAACCATTGCGACCCTGATCCCCAGCATGATTGTCCAGACCTCAGGATCGGGCTTCGTTTTCCTTGCCCGCTCCATCATTACCACTTTGGTTGAACGTGATGAGACTGCTCGCTTGTTTACTGCGATTGAGATTATCCAATCATTGGGAAATGTGGTTGCGAGTTTATCCATCACCACCGTTTTCCAGATTGGGCTGCGTCTCGGTGGAGTTTGGATTGGTCTCGCGTGGATGATGACCAGTACGCTCTTCTGTTTGGTCGGAGTAGCCATCTGGTCTTTTGATCTTCCTCCAAGTCCTCCGACACCGGACCTTTCGGAGGATTATGACGGGGATGACAGGGCGTGAATCTATAGATCTTGTATACTACTCATAGCTCCCGTGCGCACTTAGAGCGTTTGTGTTTTTAGTATCTATTATATTATATATAGCTATGTACGAAAATAACTAATCAGATAGATCAAAACTCAATATAAGAGATCTATCGATGTAACTCGCTCGCCTGCGCGAGTCTTACTCGCCGGGAAAAAGTGCCGAATGCCCCAGGCATAATATCACGTGGCAGCTCGTCTCGCATGTGATTATCACCAGCTTGTCGACCCGATTCCATTGTCAGAATTAGCCCGAGTTTGAGTTGCAACCTGTGCTGCCAGCACGCTTCTAAATATACACCTATTTAGCGCATGGAGTGTTGATGATTGAGCCCGTACCACAGCTCATTCTGCCTAAACCTGTCATAACACAAGATGGAGAGATACTCACAGTTTCGGGATCGAGGTAAATTTTAGCTGTGCTAACCAGCCCCCAAGTCCAGTTATACTGACATCTCTAGGCTCGGGAATTGCACCCTTCCTCCCAATCCCCGTTGAACCACTCGGCCTCCAAACGCCTCTTCGCATTTTCCTCTTCTGCTTCCGCCTCCCGCTATTTATTTTCGTCACTCTTAGCTATTTTTTGATCCTACAATGGCTTCCTATCGGATCGCTGGGCAAAAAGGCTGCTTTGTGGTGTATACTTGGAGTTCCCAGCATCTGGTGGATTGACCTTCAAGTGGACGGAGTGCGCAAAGGGTTTGTGCTGCACCATCGGAACTATAGCCTGTTCTGCTGGTAACTAACATTTCCGGCACAGGTCTTTGAAACAGCAGCAAGCACGTCTGCCCCAACCCGGCTCGGTCATCGCCTCGTCCTTCACATCACCCATTGATGCCGTGTACCTGGCAGCTATCTTCGACCCGATCTTCACAGCATCCTACCCCAACACTCGCCAGGTCGAGCGCATCTCTCTGTTCCAAGCCATACTGCGAGCCTTTGCTTCCCCCGCAACGCAACCGGCCCCTGGTGCCCTGATGGTGGATGTCTCGAGCTTGGTCGAGAAGTACCCCAACAGGCCGATTGTATTGTTCCCAGAGTGTACCACCACCAATGGCCGCGGCATCTTGACCCTGAGCAACTCCCTTCTCAGCGTACCTCCCAAGACCAAGATCTTCCCCGTCAGTCTGCGCTATACACCTATGGATATCGTGACCCCCCTCCCTGGGAGTTATATGAGCTTGCTGTGGACGCTTCTTAGCAAGCCGACCCACTGCATCAGAGTGCGCATCGCGGAGTGCATCACAAGAAGCCAAAATGCCATTGATACAGCTCCCTCTCTGTCGGCTGCGAAGTCGACCTATACTACGAATTACAATTACCTGGACACACTGGACCGGGACGGGCAAGAACAGGCCTCGCCCAGCGAGAAGGCGCTGCTGGATAATGTGGGCGAGTCGCTCGCTCGTCTTGGTCGGGTCAAGCGGGTTGGCTTGGGGGTGAAAGAGAAGCAGGAATTTTCTCGAGCTTGGAGTAAGAGTCGTCGGACATGGTGATCTTGATACATATATAGTATTTCTTTCGCTATATTTAGACCCAAACACATTGTGTTCACTCTCGCCAATGCTGCTGATACATGGCTCACACATGCAGTTCGTAAGTCGAATTTAATTTGCTAGACAGAAATAACGGTAGAGAATGGATCTTGATGAGGATTAATACTTGACCTGGTTTGGGCTTGGTTTCTATCTAGCTACGAATGGTATAGGCAGGGTACCTTCGTCATGTGGCTCACGATGTCCGTTGTCGACACGAGACCTAAGCAACGTATCTTGAACGTGTCAATCATGCTGATTGGACGGGGGATAGTTGGTTGTAAATTGGACCAACTCACGAATATTGTGTACCCTCTGTCATAGGAGCAAACGAGATTGCCTCAACGCTTGAGACAGAACCCGCCCTACCTGATATGGGGTCTTCTCGTTTGATTCTGTTTGAACCTTCTCTCTCTGTTTCCCAGCTCCTTCCTGTCTTCCTTTGATCGATTGGCATCATAGATCTAAGGGAGAAACCAACCATGCTTCTAAAACTATTTCTTTTGGCAGTCGCTGCATCGGTGGCTCTTGCTACCTCCAATAAGGCATTGAAATCATGTCTCGAGAATGTGTTCGCAGACCGAGCAGGCTTTGCCTTCGCTGGAGATCTATTCTATGACCGTATTGTGAATCGCTACAACCTGAACATTCCCGTTACTCCATCAGCGTTGGCCTTCCCTACGTGAGTACTCTTGAAAGAATAGTTCATTGTGTTCCTCGCTCATAACCCACAGCTCTTCTCAACAGGTGGCTGATATAGTCAAGTGTGCCGCGGATAACGGATATCCAGTCCAGGCCAGAAGTGGAGGGCACAGCTATGGCAACTACGGTGAGATTCTAAAATTACAGTAGCACAGTGGAATCCCACCTGCAGGCTAACGTGTTATATGTGACAGGTCTTGGAGGGACCGACGGCGCTGTTGCGATTGACTTAAAGCATCTCCAACAATTCTCCATGGACAATACAACTTGGCAAGCGACAATTGGGGCGGGAACTTTGCTGAGTGACGTGACACAGCGGCTGTCCCAGGCCGGAGGACGGGCTATGTCTCACGGAATCTGTCCTCAAGTCGGTTCGGGAGGACATTTCACAATTGGTGGTCTTGGTCCGACCTCGCGTCAATTTGGTGCTGCGCTTGACCATGTATTGGAGGTTGAGGTGGTTCTGGCCAACTCGAGTATTGTCAGAGCCTCTGACACCGAAAATAAGGACCTCTTTTGGGCTATCAAAGGTGCTGCCTCGGGCTACGGTATCGTCACGGAGTTCAAGGTCCGAACTGAGCCTGAGCCTGGTACTGCAGTGCAGTATGCATACAGTATGGAGTTTGGCAACCCCACGAAGCAGGCAGCCCTTTTTAAGAGCTGGCAGGCCTTCGTGTCAGATCCGAAGTTGACTCGAAAGATGGCGTCTACCCTCACTATACTTGAGAATAGTATGGCAATTAGCGGCACCTTCTTCGGCACCAAGGAAGAGTATGATAAGTTGAACCTTAGCAAAAAGTTCCCTGGTGCAAATGGCGATGCATTGGTTTTCGAGGACTGGTTAGGTCTTGTCGCCCACTGGGCTGAAGATCTTATTTTAGGGTTGGCCGCTGGAATCCCAACAAATTTCTACGCAAAGTCTACTTCTTGGACGCCCCAGACCCTCATGAGCCCGGAGACCATCGACAAAATGTTTGATTACATTGCTACCGTCAACAAGGGTACTTTGGGCTGGTTCCTGTTGTTCGATTTACAGGGAGGCTACACCAATGACATCCCAACTAACGCTACATCTTACGCCCATCGTGATGTCCTCATATGGCTACAGTCCTACACACTCAATTTCTTGGGACCAATTTCCCAGGCCCAGATCGACTTCCTCGATGGGCTTAACAAGATTGTCACCAATGATGAGCTACCCTACACTGCCTACCCGGGTTACGTTGATCCTCTTATGCCCAACGCGGCCGAGGCATACTGGGGCACCAATCTCCCCCGACTGCAGCAGATAAAAGAGCTAGTTGATCCAAACGATGTGTTTCGGAATCCACAGAGCCCATCTCCTGCAAACAAGGAGCCTTTGTGACAAAGCATCGGGTCTTTTGCATTCAGAACTAGTCATAATCAAATCATTTTGTAAAAGGGTTTAGAAACATAATACCAGAAATTTGATTTACTCAAGAAGACATAAACTATGCGTATCATTTATTCTCGCTTTTCTGCTTCGCCGCCCACTCTTCACTCTGACGAGAAGTCCATTTCCAACGAAGTGCCCACATCTCTTGATACAACTTCTCTGAGCAATCCGGGCACATTCCTGCCTTCTGAAAAAGTCGCTCTTCGGGAATTCCAAGAATGCCAATGTTGAGAGCTCGTAGAACAACTCCTGTGCAACGCTCTCGCATGAGAAATGGCACGCCGAACTCTTTACAGCGTTCAACTCGTCCGAAATGAATACAGTTGCACATCGTCCACATGTTATAAGTCTGGAAGCACATTTTGAGGTTGGTTTTCTGTAGCTAAGTCAATGGAAGAAATATAGACCCGGTATAGTATACTTAGGGGTTTGTTGCTTTGGCCTTGAGATTGGCTGGTGATATTTGGATCTATGTAGATGGTTATATATTTGGGGGATATTCATTGATCTTTGAAAACTTTGGGTCTTTCAGTCTCTTCCTTTGTTTCTTTAACATGTCGCTTTGAGCTGGTCTCTGTTGCTATGAGACATCAGATCAACAAAGACATACATAGAACATTGTCTCAAAAGCCAGCAATTAAAATGATGATAGGAGTATTCTGTATAACAAGGTGTGGAATCTTGAATAGTCATTAAGAACGTGATCAGTCTTTTCAGATGTCTTTTTCTTAGGTGTTCTGAGAACGACTTTGCTACGTATAACCTTGAAACACTAATATTAAATAACCAATAATAGCGAGTAAACAGATCTGCCGGATATGTCAGAATAGTAAATGGGTATTGGGTATTTCAATAGCTGCTAATGGGAACAAAACCTCTATACATTAAGCCATGATACATCATGATCGTCTAGTCAAGGCATCTCTAGCCAAAGCATCAATGCGACGAGAATACAAGTCCATGAAATGCATAACGGGGTCACCAAAGACCACACCTCGGAGCTCAGTGTCTACAATCCCACAGGCATCCACATGTTCCCGCGGTGGCAGTGCAGGAGGGCCACCAGGGACCGGTGGCGCTACAAAGACAGGGTGGCTATTGGATTGGTCTCGAGGACGAAGAAGAATGAGCCGACCAGCAAGTGACAGATCGGACGAGGGGATCCTCCAATAGATAGGAGCGGATTTCTTCTTCTTGTCGTACAAGGCTAGTACTGACCCCGGAGCGGGCGAAACATACAGGTCTAGCAATGAGATGAAGTAGTTCTTGTCGGCACGGGAAACCGGGTCACCCTCGTTGATGAAAGCGAAAAACATGGACTTTGACCTCTGGGCAGTAGGAGAGAGCTGTAACGGACGGAGAGATATGGGCGGAGCACCAAATGTGACACAGTGAATGTGTTTGAAGCAGCCGCGGAGATGAATGAGTTCGGATTGCACGGCTGGAGATTCGGAAAGGAGGTGTAGATATAGCAAGCTGGCGACGGCACCGCCCGCGGAGTGGCCAGTGAAAATTAGCGAATAGGACATGCGTGAGGGATCTTCTTCAAGAAGACTACGTAGCCGGGCTGCGACGGGGGCAACCATTTTTCGGGCCACGGATAGGAAGCCCGAGTGGCAGCAGTTGGATGGGTCATCTAGAAGGCCCATGGGAGAGACTGGTGCTGCCCGGACGTTCACGGCCCAGTCGAGGAAACTCTGCGTGCCACGTATGGCGAAGACAATCGTGTTCATGTCGTCGATTGGGAGCGATTTGACCACCATGGCTTTGGTGCCGTGTAGCCAATCGGAGTCCACGTATGAATGCCGTTCATGGCCTGAAGGCTTGTCGTAAACCCGGCGCGAGTACTTGGCTGCTAGTTGGAGGAGGGGATATGTTGGAGGATAGCTGAATGCGAGATGAGCAAGTTGGGCTGAATATGACCGGAGTGTGGAGGGTCTTACAATTTCAGCGTTGTTAGATGAGGCGGTAACCGCGAATTGGCATACAGGTACACCTTCGAGAAGTAATCCACAGATCTTGTTGGCTTCTTCGCTTTTCGCTTTGATCGATCTTTCTTCTCGTCTGACTGATGAGGAATTTTACAAGCAGCAACTATTGTCACAAATGAGTATCATTCGATAATACAATCCGAACCATACCACTTACTTAGTTCAGTTTCTCTCCCACAAAACGACCCCAGGTCGATCGAGGTGATGACTTGATCTAATAACCGCGATGTGGCCTCCTTGACGTTTGCGCCACCACCCAAACTCTGGCGGACCAAATGTTCGAGATCAAGTATTGTCGCATTGGTCTTCTCGAACGTATGCGATACCAAGCTGGTCATTGACTGGTTCAGATTCGTACATGATGTCCATTTTGAAAGTTTCGGTGGGTGAGCGTTCCAGGGGGGACTGCTTGAGGCAGGTCCTGGGAAAGGATAGAGTGGCTGAGGTTGTATACGAGCCATAGTCATTGCCATATTTGGATTATATGCGACGGTAGATGTATGAGATGTGTTAAATGTATGAAATGTGTTGACTGAATACGCCCCCGCTGGCGACCCATACGGAGGATCGACATATTTCTGCGGTGCCCCTATTTTCGGGCGTGGTGGTTTTGGCGGTGGTTTAGGAGATGTCGGTCTCTTGGAGCGACTCGAACGGCCAAAGGCCATGGCGTATATTCTAGCTCAGTGTGTGGAATGTGTGTGGAGTGCGTGGGGTGCCTGGATTCAATAGTTATGGGCTATCCTATACGTAATTTCAAGAGCCCCGATCCTTGTCCCTCGCACATCGTACACCGATGTAAGGCGAAAAAAGAAAAAGGCAATGCAGGAGTCATGCAGGTCCTTCATGTCAAGCACGCGTAAGAAGCAGGGCACTCCCATCACGCGGGTTCTCCGTCGACTTCTCCGCTGGCCGTCGATAGGCTGAAATCCGAGTACGAGCACAGCCCCATCCGGGCCATCCAGGGCGTCCACAACAAATACGATTGGCCGCATGGGAACAAAGCTTGGCTTGGCTTGATTCAGCTTGGATTCTAGAGCATATGATTGTGTCGAGTTCTTGACGTCATGATATTTGGAGATGTCGAATACTAATAGCAAGACTGAATGTAACAAATATAAAAAAAATTAGAAGAGACGCGATGGGAAGAATGACAGGCCAATGAGATACGAAACTGTAAAACCATCTACGCTGAAACTGAGGAAGGACATCCGCTTGAGTCATTTGTTAGTGTTTCATTCGGGCGCAGATTCTCAGGAGCATGTCAATCCCATATGATGTATCATGTTGCTGACCTGTTAATGGCTTAGTAGTTCATTTGTTAACGGCCGGGACAGGAACTGCGGCTCTGCCCGGCTTGTTTATTGATCGCCGGATATGGTGATATCAACTTTATAGTCGACTAATTCGGTCACGATATCGTGATTATCACTAGTTTGCATGTATGCAGCAAGCTCCGTATGTGAAGGGGTATGTGAAGGGTGATATGGGCAAGGTAGGAAATGAACAATGGGAAACGTGTCTTGTATTTCCATGTCTTACCTCCTGGAGGTAGTTGTATGTAAAAAAGGGTATAAAAAGCCGGTCTAGCCATAAAAACATAAAATCCAATCCACATAATGACTCATTCAGTCATCATGCCTCGTGAATAATAATGATGAGTAAAAAAACGACACAAGAGAAAAGGTATGTGAGTCAAGAAAGGGAATAGAATGAAGAGCATCAGAAAGGGGAGAAAAAGAATCGAAAGGAGGGCCAAAAAAGAAAAAAACGGACAGCAAGGCACATTGGAGACCGGCTCTATGGCACTTCTTTGTCGCCTCTTTTCAAACCACCGGGTACATTGATAGCATCACGCACCCAATCTATAGCAGCAATCTCATCAAGGGTCTTGCGCTTCGTGTTGCGCTTGAGAAGACCTTCCACACAGTCACGGGCCCCTTCGAGTCCTTTGCCCTTTTCGGGGTCCCATTCCTCGTCCTCGTCGGCATATCTATACCAAGCCCATTCACACCGTGCGATACGATGCGGAGTCCGGGCACGAAGTTTGGCAGGATCTCCTCGAGTGCCAGGCAGAACATCGAAGGGTAACCGATTCTCCATGATGGCATAGAGTAGAACACCGAGTGCCCAGGCGTCAGTGGAGCGGCCGTCGTAAGCCTGGCCCATCAGAATTTCGGGGGCTGCGTAGTCTTCGCTGCCACACCGGGTCTGCAGGAGCGGGCTCTCTGGTGGTTCAGGGATACGTCGAGACAGGCCGAGATCACTGAGGGTGACGACGGCGCGGTCGTAGGTACGCCAGTCTTGCACATCATCCATAACATGAGCGGGCATGGTAAGCAGAACGTCTGGAAACATGGTCAGTATAAGGTCTGCAGTCTCCTGGCAAACAACGCTGTCTCACTTTCTAACTTGATGTCTCGGTGAACGATGTAATGAGCATGCAGATAACGCACAGCATCAACCAATTCGGCAAAAATGCGCCGGATCAAATCCGCGGACATACGAGCTCCTGACGTGGCAAACTCGAACAAATCTCCACCAGGACAATAGTCCAAAACCAACAAAGCACGCTTTTCATCGCTGCCGAATGCTTTCAGTTGGACAAGGGACGGATGGTTGACCGACTTCAAGATTTCTACTTCGCGCTTGAGTGAAATTTCCAGTCGGCTCTCATCCGCGCCTCCAGCGGGTCCATGTTCGATGATTTTGACGGCGACTAGCTTCTGATTGTTGACAAACCCGTGGAATGTGCCAGCTCCATCACCATCCGGCGACAAAGGCATCCCGGGGAAGGGTTCCACACGTGCTGCCAGACTGACCTGACTGAATGTGCCCTGGCCCAATGTCCGGACTTTCTGGTAGATACGGGCCTGCTCTGTACGGACCGACCGGACGGAATAGATATCCTGAGACGCGGACAGAGGGGCGGGGTAACGGATAACGGGTTCATTGTCACTGTATCCACTGCCACTGCTGCGAGGCGGGCTGGGAGGACGAACGGTCGGCAATGCGATACCTCGGTAGACAGCGAGATATTGTTCGCGATGAAGTCCATTGGACTTCGAATCTATGCTCGACGACGGGGCGATCCCAAGCCCGGTATTCCCTTGCACTGCAATCGGACGGGGAGGAACAGAGACCCGGCCGGGTGGTGGTGCATAGTCACTCAGACTGCGGTTCCGAGAATGAGAATGCTTCGAGGACGAGTCGCGACGGTGCCAATTATTCACGAATGACTCTTCCCCTTGGCCATCAATTCCAGTGTATGGTTTGGCGCGCGAACGGGGCATGACGGGGGGCCCAAGCATTTGTGACGAATCGCTCAGGCGAAGACTGGAGCCGTTGCGCGACGCTATCGACGAAGAAC